TCAACTAAAGTGCTAATGATAACTATCATATAACCTGCTTTTTGATATAAATAAATAAATGTGATTCCATTAATCGGGAAAATTTGATGTCTCCTTTGACGCAGTTTTAATCAACCTCTTGGTATTGTGGCCAAAATGTCAACTATATGTTTAACATCATTACAACGGAAACTACTGTGGTTTCCCAGTTTTTCGTTTGATATGCTGCAGAGGTCAATTGCCTTTAATTAACCATTTTTATGATTGATTATGGGGTGCATAATAGACCTACCTCTACGTGGAGTGCACCCTGGGCAACGTATACTCATACGGCAAAAAGTCTTTTAACTGCACCCTGGGGAACGTATACTCATACGGCAAAAAAGTCTAACCCTGGGCAACGTATACTCATACGGCAAAAAAGTCCATTAATCGGGAGCAACGTATACTTATACGGCAAAAAAGTCTATTAACTGGCAGTTGACTTCTCACTTCAAATTTCTATGGCCCGACTATTTTTCATATTCGACCCCTTTCACAGTACTCATCTAACCTTTTCTGTGCCTTTGTGTCTGTCAGTCTGTCTCTTTTACATCTGCGAATCACTCTTCTGTTCCCCCTCTCGACTTTTGTCACTTTGGTGTTCCTTCTCCTCTCTGTGAAGCCCCGAAGTCAGCTCCAGGGCTAATGATAACTATCAAAACGCCTGCCATTTGATATAAATAAATAAATATCAGTAAAACAGGCATGGAGATTACAAAATAAACGATGAAGGTACAAAATATTCCAGCCATAAAATGTTTGTTTCGGTGTAGCTCAACCAAGCACTCGGATTTTAAGGTCTTGCATAATTTACTTAATTGTTGTCTTCTTCTATAGACTCTTTCATATTGAAATAACCGTAGAGAACGAGAATTACAACAGTTCAGTTACCAGTTGGAGGCACGGGCAATGTGTAGACATTCTTTGTTCTTACAGAAAAATGATAAATTACGCGGATGATAGGAGGGGAGGGGAGAGGGATTTCGTTGCAATTTCCACTTCGCCAGGGCGAATAAATGCGCACAATTTTATTTTAATTAAATCACAAGACACTGAAAGAAAACAGATAACCCGCAGTTTAATCACGTAGAGCGGGGAGCGTGAAACAGCTATTTCCGAATTTATGCCTTAAAGCCCAATAATATTTCAAGTTATATTATAACGAAATAATGAAAATCCTCTTGCCAGTCTGCCCAAGTGACTTTCCGAATAAATGGGATTGAATTGAGAGCAGCAACCATTTAAGTAAACCTATTCATCAACGAGCTTTGTGCATCACCGAAACGTAGGGTCGAAGAGGGTGATTGAGAGAAGAAAATGTGGGGCATTATAATTTGAACTATCCCATCATAAGAAAAGTGCATTATTAAGTACTTCGGGAATTCAAATATGACTTTTGATATCCTAGCTCGATTATATGTCCCTAATTGACCTCCTCCCCACTTTAATGACTTACTGGAATGGTTTGCTATCTCCCAGATGCGCATTCAGATGTTATCCGAGGATGCAAAATGTTAAACGCCTGTTGCTTTGCCACAGTTAATAATAATCTACTAAAGATCGTTTTTTTCAAAACCACCTGATGTTAAACCTGACTGAACTACAATCGCGTATGGAGGATGAGATGAGTAATGCGCAAATGAGTCAGAAATATGCCTTCACATAGACGGGAGTAAGCGAAAAGGTTGATATTTGGTAGAAGAAAAAAAAACGGAACAAACTCAGCAAGCCCTTTTCCGCCCTACCCTCTCTCGACACAAATTCGCAAAGCTAGACGAGCATCACTCACGATTAAACATCAAAGCCATTTAAAGCACTTAATAAACTTGATATGTGCTCAAAACGCAAAATGCGGTCTCAAAACATAGAAACATTTTGACTGAACTGAGAATGTAACAAGTCCTTAAATTACATGTCAACACATATATGCAGCAGTAGCCCGCATATTGCCAATGGATGAATGTGGTGCTAAGATGAGGACAAACAAGACACGGATGTTTGTGGCAAAAGAGAAACAAACTAATCCAATTTGCAAAGTTGTTTACGAAGAGTTATTCGAGAAGAACTAAAACCACAAGGCGCCATTGACTAGACATAAACGAAAATTTCATGACATCATTTAGCAAATAAACAAATAATCAGGGAAGAGAGAGATCAATGGAAAGAAAAGATGAGAAGCGACTCACTATTTCATCTAGAGAACGCATGTCAACAACTGGGCGGTTGTAGCGCTTTTTGACTGTTTCCGTTTCCTCTACTTCCTGGTGTTTCGTTGCGTGAGCTTCTTGTTTTTTCTTCTCTATAGCTTCCTTCACACTTTTTTCTCTAAGGAGAGAGGCCTTTGTTGATCGATTCTCCGTCTTCTTTAAAACAGGATGGGGAATCTGAGATACGCTAACTTCAGTAGCCACATCGGAACTAGTAACATCATCCGTCCCGATAGAGATACTACTGGATTTGTGCTCCAAATCGTTGGTATCACCAGACCAATCGAAGGAAGGCAAATTCAAAGTGGTAATTTCACAATCACTCACGAAAGCTCGATCTCCTAAGGCGATTTCGTCGTCAATTTCCTTCTCCAAGTAGACAATTTCAGGAACTTCCATACCGACTCGACCTCCAATGCGAGCCAATTCTAGAAGGCAGATTATTACGCTTCGGAGATTCTTTTTGGAGACGAGATCTTCTGTCTCGAACAGAATACAATCCGGCAATCGCATCGCTCGGCACCAGTGAATAAAATTGGCTACATTATCACGAGCCCAGAAGCTGCCACCGGCTAAATTAACAGAACTGAAACTTCGGGATTGAAATTTTGGAGGGTTAGGAGGAAGAATCGGTTTAACTCCCCCGATTTGAAGACCCTCTAATCTTCTTTCACCGTTGTCGGAATTTATAGGAAATTCTTCTGCTAAGAGACCATGAAGTTTAGTAGCATGGTGACAAAGAAGAACACCATCAGATATTCTATCAAAGAATTTTTCTGGGTCAATGTCATTAGCAATCTCTGGATAAAGTCGGGACAACCAATCCGCAAGATCTTCTGTCATTGCGGCTAGGAATTCATCTCTATTCTGGAATGACTGAACAGAAGGAGAATCCAGAGTAGAAATAGAGCAGGCCCTACTCATTCGACTTTTCGGAACGATTCGAAGAGCATTTCCAAAGTAGTACATTTGACATCCGCTATCTTCATCAGTAAATGCACTACTACAATCGCTGGGAGAAAGCTTATTATTTACATGCAGCCCATCCGCAGATGTAGGAGATGATGGATCAAAGTCACTTCCAAGGGGAAAAATTTCCTCTGGAAGGCCCAAATCAACACTTGTAGGAAGCCTTATTTTTCCTCCAGTGGTGATAATATTCGGGTTCTTTTGATAGAGATGTTCCACTTTGTCATTCCGAGGAGGATAAAATCCGCTTACAATTGCAGCATTTTCAGGGGGAAGTGAACACGCTCGTATTTCTGAATGCCCGTTATGGATCATTTTCCATTATATTTCTTTGTAATTCCACAAACAAATGAGAACGAAAGACAAATAGTTAACTGACTGACCGTACGCACCGCCTGAAACGTGAATTGCGAGTTAGTGAGACAGTTAGTCACGGCAGCAAATCGCTACACGTGAAATGCACCAATTGGCGTTAACGACTTACCATTGGTTCCGTGTTGGCCAATAGCATGCGCACAACATGTTTGGACGCGTCAGCTTCGTGACGCATGATTCAGCCCTTCTGAAGAGGAGTTTAAAGTCGCTGCTTAAGCTATGCGCGTATAGTTTATGTATGCTAAAGCAATGCCAGTCGTGTTTAGCCCTTAACCCTTAAGAAACCATTTTAATACATCTTTATTGAAAATAAAGGCGTTTATTATTGTATTAAACCAGTTGAGCGTCTTTAAAGAAGAAGGAAATTCAAATGCAATTTTCTTCCCCATTTCATCTTTGCGTAAGCAGAATATTGCTTAAGGTCTGTGCCTAAATACGCTAAACTTAACTTATCTGACAACAACATTAGGGGTTACTAGGAGCTTATAATGAAGCCATCATGATAATGAGTCTAACTTTATTTGAAATTTGGAATCATTGAGCTGTTCTTTTTCAGCACTGGACAACTCGGTTGTAACGTCTGTCGGTTTAGAGGTCACGAGATTAAGTTCCCATCCGTGAACATTCGGTAGCATGTTCTATTAATTCTGGGTAGACTGTGGGTTTCTCGTAATTTCTCTCCACCCAAATTAAGTGTTGAGAACATTTCTTCCAGTAATTTTCGAGAGACTATAACAAAACTCATAAAGATTTTAATCTTTCTTTCTTCATTGCTTGGACTAGTAAGCGTATTTTCCTTAAACAACTGGTTATTGTAATTCGAATATTCCTACCAACGAAATTCTCAAAGAAAGATTGCCTTTTTCCAAACAATTGGGATAGAATCCCCTTCTAGACTGCGACAGAATTGGATTAAAAATGTTCGATAGATGTATTGGCCTGATATCTTATTTGTGATTTTTTCCCAACTGAGTGTCAAAGTAGAGGGCATGCGAATACTGAAGAGCTGTGATGTACTTTAACCACGAGTATAAAAACGCCCGCATCACCAAAACACCATTACTTGGCGCGTTTCCGGGTTTCCTATCAAGGAATATGGAAGGGGTGAGTTATTATGTGAGATTTAGCATGTTCTGTCTTCGCATCAACAGCAAATCATCAACTCTAAATCTTGAATATGTACGCTTTGAACGCTATTTTCGTTTTATTGTTTTGATGCTCGTTTGGTAAAATCATTTAGAGAGTATGTAGGTTCGCGGTCATTATTCTTATGACTTTATTACTGCTTGGGAATAAATTTTAACTTCAAAATATTTGTTCAATTGATAACTAACACCTAGATGTTTGAACTGCAACAAGTAAGCTACTTTATACTTAGTTTAATACACAGATCCGTTAATTAAATTATCTAAATGGATGTTATGTAGAATTGAATGTACTGAGAACTAAACGCCAAGATCAAACATGTCTCAGATGAAATAAATGTGGGACACATCATAAATGACCAAATAGAAATCCTGCTATAGAACCCTACTAAGAAATATTTTAGCTATTAATGTTCACACGAATTATGCTAGAGTTATCTGATAACTAAGCGCTTTGCCAAACTCAACACTTCGCTATCAATATACGTATTGAATAAACGTATTCCGTTCTACACGTTTGTTTCCCTTTATAGCTGAGCTATAGCTTAGCTTGTTCTGGGAGTCTAGCTAGATGTTGGAGAATCTGCCATAGAGATTTCTGAGCCGGCCAGGCTTTACTAGCGTAGCAATCCGCTACACAAAGCCCATAT